AAAAAAAAAAAAAAAAAGAAAAAGAAAAAGAAAGAAAAGAACAACAACAACAACAACAAAGAAAACCCACTAGGGATCACCCCTATAGCCCATAGCCTGCCAACATTATTCTAACCATCCAATTCTAATTCTGCTCATTGCTTACCTTACCTTGCTCATTCCTTCCCTTGAAAATCACAATAGAGGCTTTTGTCCCTGCTTTCCCCTTGTTTTTTCTGACCAACCCTTTGATTCCCTGTGGCCCTTCCATGGCATGGTGTGCCCCCTTCTCTTACAAATTCTGAATAATAAATTATCTTTTTTTTTTTTTTTGAGACAGTCTGACTTTGTGACTCATAGTAGAGTGCTGTGGCGTCATAGCTCACAGCTACCTCAAACTCTTGGGCTGCAGTGATTCTCTTGCCTCAGCCTCCCAAGTACCTGGGACCACAGTGCCCAGCTATTTTTAGAGAGGAGGTCTTACTCTGGCTCAGGCAATCAATTCACCCACCTTGGCCTCCTGGAGTGCTAGGATTATAGGCAAGAGCCACAATGCCCCACCCCAAAATTACCTTTTCAATGACAGTTGTCTCCTGACCTCCTTATACCTGAATCACCCCTATGTTTCAGGTACATTTTTAAACACATATGAATGCTGTTTTCCAGACCATTCATTCTTCCTAAATCCCCTGTCATCTAATGTTGTCTTGTCAGTCTATACTGGACAATCATCTACAGACCCCAAGATCAGTCCTCCCCGTTCCTCACAATTTTAGTTACTGATTAGTGTCAGTTTCTCTAGTAAAATCCGTGTTAATAATTGAGTAAAGGTTTTGTGTGAACATATGTTTTCAGGTCTCTCGTTTCATATACCTAGAAGTAGGATTGCTGTGTCATATGGTAGTTCAACATTTAACCTTTTGAGGCTGCCAGATTCTTTTCCAAAATAGCTATACCACTTTACATTACCACCAGTATGTAGGAAGGCTCTAATTTCTTTTTGATGATAGCCACCCTAGTGGGTGTGAACTGGTTTCTCATTGTGGTTTTCATTTATTTGCATTGCCATATAACCACGGCAGCTTTTTGTATACATATAGGTCATTTTAAATTCTTCTTTGGAAACTATTTATTCACATCTTTGTCCATTTTTAATTGGATTATTTGTCTTTATTTTAGTGAGTTATAAGAGTTCTTTACATATTCTAGAATGTTGAATCTTACCAGACATATGACTTGCAGTTTTATCTCATTCTGTGGGTTATCTTTTAACTTTCTTGGTGGTGTTCTGGAAAGTTCAGAAGTTTTAAACTTCTTTGATGTCCACTTTCTCTTTTGTCACTTGTGCTTTTGGTGTCATGTCTAAGAAACCGTTGTCTCACCAAGACCATGATGATTTATGCCTGTGTTTACTTATAAAAGTTTAATGCTTTTAGGTTTTTGTTCTATTTGTGGTATGAGCTTAGAGACTAATGTCATTCTTTTGCATTTGGATATTCAGTTGCCTTAGCACCATTTTTGTTGTTGTTGTTTGAGTCATGATCTTGCTTTGTTGCCTGGGCTAGAGTGCAGTGATGTCATTATAGATCACTGTAACCTCAGACTCCTGGACTCAAGCCATCCTCCTACTGCAGTTTTCCAAGTAGCTGGAACTGTAGGCATATGTCACCAACCCTGGATAATTCATTTAGTTTCTGTAAAGACGAGGACTCACTATGTTGCTCAGGCTGGCCTTGAACTTCTGGCCTCAAGTGATCTTCCCACCTCAGCCTCCCCAAATGCTCAGATTACAGGTGTGAACCAGCTCATCCCACTAGCACCATTTTTTTTTCTTGGACACAGATTCTTACTAAGTCACCTTCGGTAGAGTGCCGTGGCATCACAGCTTACAGCTCGCAGCAACCTCAAACTCTTAGGCTCAAGTGATTCTCTTGCCGTAGCCTCCCAGGTAGCTGGGACTACAGGCGCCCACCACAAGGCCTGGCTGTTTTTTGTTGCAGTTGTCATTTTGTTTAGCTAGCTCAGGCTGGGTTCAAACCTGCCACTTTAGATGTATGTGGCTGACGCCGTAACCACTGTACTATAGGTGCCAAGCCTAGCACCATTTTTTGAATATACATTTCTTTCCCATTTTATTGTCTGGATTCCCTCATTAAAAATTAGTTGTCCGGCTCAGCGCCTGTGGCTCAAGTGGCTAAGGCGCCAGCCATATACACCTAAGCTGGCAGGTTCAAATCCAGCCCAGGCCCGCCAAACAACAGTGATGGCTGCAACCAAAAAATAGCCAGGCATTGTGACGGGCACCTGTGGTCCCAGCTACTTGGAGGCAGAGGCAGGAGACTCGCTTGAGCCCAGGAGTTGGAGATTGCTGTGAGCTGTGATGCCACAGCACACTACCCAGGGCGACAGCTTGAGGCTCTGTCTCAAAAAAAAAAAAAA